TTATAATTTAAATTATAAATTAAAAGCTCTGAAAATCAGTTCTGTCCCCCCCCCAAAAAAAAACTACAAGGGAAGGTACTAGCTATTCCACAGGGATGGAACACAGACAGAAAAACACTGTCTTCTGGCCCTTTTCCTGAGCTCGCATGGAGGGCAGGCCCTCAGCATCCTAATTTGGAATGCTTATGCCCTGAACTGATCAACCCACACTTTCAAAAATAATTACAAATATTGCAAGGATCTCCTATAACTTCCTATCACATAGCCCAATATATCCAGACAAATTGGGCATTCCAAAAGGAGCGATGTTCTTAGTGGTCTTTTTATTCTTTTCATTGCTAATAAATTAGGGTTAACATATTTACAGTATCTTTCCTAATAGAACTCTCTCTCCTAACAGTAATTCTGTGCAAGGGTGAGAACTATTAGTAAGTGTAATATAGAGAAATACTTGTACTTTAATGCTGATTTCCTGAGTTACCTAAACTTATTAATGCCAGTTCTGCTGCTCCCTAACTGATGATGGATCATTTTTGAGAGCTTCCATATTTGAGGGAAGATAGGGCAATCATTGCCACTCCAATGAAGGTCTAATTTTGCTGCAAGATTTGTATTAGCAGTACAGGAAAATGACTCTTTGATTCCAAGATAAAAGAACCTTTGTTTCTGTTTTTGCTGTTTTTAAAGGATGGGCTGACTCCACTGCACTGTGCTGCACGAAGTGGACATGACCAAGTTGTAGAGCTTCTCCTGGAACGAGGTGCTCCACTGCTTGCCAGGACCAAGGTATGTTTATAGTTCAGACTAGTATTCTAAGGAAGTTTGATTGATATTGAAACCCATAGCAGTAAAATAAATAAAAAATAGTAAAGGAATCAATGTAATAAAATGTAATAAAATATTCTAAAATTCATGAACTCATGCTCGCATATTTATCACATGGTTACTTATTTTCTCATTCACTTCTGTTTCCACGCTGTTTCCATTGCTTTTTATGCAAAAATCCATTCATAAACTTCTACAAGCAGAATATGTGCAGATGAAATGAAGGTATCAAAAAATTAGATGCACATCCAGGAAAGCAGTATTAATATACTATGATAGACAATGGATTAGATATGAAGTACAAATGCCTGAACAGCTTTGTGTGTTCTAAAACAGAGTGAGGTTTTCCAAGTGAATAAGCAAAACCTCAAGACGTACATCTTCAAAACCAACTTTGGAATATACCTTGGCAATGCACTATTGTAACCTGACGGATGAATCTGTTACTTTGGAGTTTTGTAGGCTTAACATTTTTCAAGACTTAAATTTAGTTTGTCGTGTGTGTGTGTGTGTGTGTGAGAGAGAGAGAGAGAGAGAGAGAGAGAGAGTATTTACAAATTTGTTGCTGCATAATGCTTTGCTTTGCTTGTTGCAGAATGGACTGTCTCCGCTTCATATGGCTGCCCAGGGTGACCATGTGGAGTGTGTCAAACACCTACTGCAGCACAAAGCTCCTGTTGATGATGTTACACTGGATTACCTGACTGCCCTCCATGTTGCTGCACACTGTGGCCACTATCGTGTCACTAAGCTTCTTCTGGATAAGAGAGCAAATCCAAATGCCCGTGCATTGGTAAACTTTTCCTGGACTTCTGGTGGAGTATGAAGGGAACTGGGATACTGACTCCACACATTCAGTTCAGTGACTATAGAAACACAGGAGAATAATCGCTGGCCTTTTCAGTTGCACACTCAGTGACTCTGCCACAAATCCATGTAGATAGTAAAACAGTTGGGCATTAGAAGAGATCTAATGGTTACAGTGGCATGTAGATAAGAATGTGAGGCAAACAGAATGGTCAGTGTACATGAGGAGGAGGAGCTTCTGCAGAGAACTACAGTCATAGACTTTTTGAAGCATTAAGGGCTTCCTCTTCACAGTTTACAATGTTGTTGTTCAGTCATTAAGTTGTGTCCGACTCTTCGTGACCCCATGAACCATATTGCG